AAATTTCTTAATATTCATACCAATAGGAATTAATTTTATATTGAAATTATCCGAAACATTCGAAATCAATTAATATTATTTAAAATTAAAATTGATGTGAAAAACTTCTTTTAATGTACCCAGTTCGACCAAATCTAAAACATAACGAATGTTCCACCGATAAAAAACAAAATTTACAATAATTCAACAATTAGAAGTTAATCAATTTCCATCAAGCATGTGAATGTTATTTCACTGTATATGTCCTACATATTTGAAAATCTTTCACAAATATAAGCGATATTGTCCCCTTTGAGAATCATAATGGACCCTACTCCAGTGCAAGTGATCCACAATGATTTAGATACGCTTTCAAAATAAATCGTTTAGAATTGCCGGGAGCAAGTTGATAAAAAAGAAAAGTTTCTTTAATTATTTTTTTAGGTACACAACAAAACTGCACAGTATTTGAATTAACTTTAATCTTATATTAATATATAAAAATCAAAGTTTTTGGTAAAAATAAAAAAAATTTTATGTAAATGATTTAAAATATTAATATATAGACGATCTTAAAAATGTCACATAACATCTAATAAATACATTTTATTTTATTTAATATATTTTTAATTTAAAAATAATTCAAAAAATTAAATTATTTATTTATATTTTTATTATTAACCTGAAATTACTTTCAATTCAATTCATATAAAAAATATTAAACATTTAAAAAAATTTTAATTTAACAAATTAAATCAATTAATATTTAATTAATAATTTAATAAATACTATAATTATAATTGTAAAATAACTGATTCTCTAATAAATTATTTGATACATTTATATTTGATTAAATATAGTATCTATTTGAGTAATTGATGTATTTCATGTGTAAATATAGAAAGCAAATATATCAAATTAATTCTTCATAATTAAATTAATCAAATAACATATTTTATTAATTTATATTTGACAGATAGATTTATATATCATTAAATATGATTTCATTTGATAAAATATTAATGCACATTTGATTTCATTTGATAAAATATTAACTGACTAGGATTTCATTTTATTTCATTTGTAATGTTTTATAATTTTAAAATCTAAATATTAATGCACATTGATTTAATTAAAATTTAATTTGTTTTATTGCCATCATTAAATATAATAAATTTAATTTGTTTTATTGTTCTAAATTAAGAGATCTCTAAATATTAATGACAGAATAAAATATTTTAATATCAATCAACTTACCATTGTTAAACCATTATTCACTCAGCTTTTTTATTATTTCAATATTAACTTTTATAATTTAAAATTATCTTATTAATTAACCAACAACACACCTTTTGTTTAAATAGTTATAGGTTAAGCATAATGCATGTTTGATCATTTTTCATTAATTTTATATTTTTTTATCACTACTCAACTTTACTTTAATTTTCTCTCTAATTTTTACTTTTCATCATTTCTTAGTTTGCGCAACTGAAAGGTTATTCTCATTTTATATTTATATTTTATATTTCTTTAACTATGATATTAATATTCTTTTTTTAATATTTTTTTGTTGATGATTAATTTAAAAATGATTGGACATATACAAGGAAAATCTTTCACCAATAGAGTTGCTATCATGAAAGTTGATACCACTTTTGGTTTGTATTATATATCATGTGAGTGTAACAAAAAGCTATTTGAAATTGATAAGAAATTTCAATATTATTCTTGCAATATTATGTCCCTGATCCAACTCCAAAATAATTAGTATTATATTTTTTATATTTGATACATAATAAATTATTATTTCATAATGATAGTAAAAGTATTTTAAATTATTAAATTATATTTATAATTGTAGAATTTTACATTTTTTATAGGTATAAGTTAAATATTAATGCATATGATAATTCTAAAAGGTGATGCTCGTATGTTTAATACTGATGCTCGTATTGTTCAATACAAAAGCTAAAAATTTAATTAATAAAGATATTATCAATTTTTATAAAATATTGTTAAGATATTGAGTTAAAAATTATTTTAATATTATTTAATATTAAATTAATTGAATAATATATTTATACTTACGATTTAGGAAAATAGAGATTATAAAATTGAAGAGATATTTGAATATCTCAAAGGTAAAATTTGTGCTGTTAGAAATGAAGCCAACCAAGTATATCTTAAAACAAGTAATATCAAACTTATAGTGAATAAGTTTGAATATCAAAATTTATTGGAAGAGGTATATATTATAATGATTATGTTGTTATAAAGTTATATAGTCTAGATTATAACTTAATTGTTATTAAATTATAAATTATTGTTTTGTCTATCTTTTTCACCTCTATTGTGAAATTTATTGGCTCATCAAGTAAAATAATAGCTATTTCAAAATTGCAAGAAATGTTAGAGAATCAATTGTTGCATCTTCACTTCAATAACAACTTATAGAAGAATCTCTCATGAAAAAAGTTTATATGCAATATTGATTTAAAGATGAAATTTTCAATTTATTAAAATCGAAAATATTATTGTCTTTTATTTAAAGATTATTTGGTTTCAATAAATTATAGTTTGAATTTTTTAAAGAACAATGATAATTGCATAAATATATTTAATATGTAATTAATTAATTATATTATATTAAATATATAAATTTAAATAAAAATGATTATATAAATTATAAGTTGTTCATAAATTTCAGAACTTATATTACCATTTAAAAAAATTTATATTTATATAAATTTTATTAATATACGAGTTTAAAACAAGTTATGTTTAAATAACTTACAAATCATATGGTTTAGAATTGCGGGGAGCATTGCTGGTGTCATCAAGAGACCTGAACAGTTTAATTAAATAATCATTGATTGGATGTTTTACTCAAAGCAAATAGCATCAAATATATCTAATCATTTTGCGATATTTCATTTTCAAATGGACCTGTGTTCCGTTAATTATTATTAAAAATCTTGACAAAATTCTTCATTCCAAAGTCATGTGACAAAGTTTGATGGGTCTAAAAATTGTGAATGTTCATTTAAAAAAAATAAATTTAAAAAATTAAAATGAATAAAAATAAAATATTTCAGTAAAATTAAAATTACAGATGAACTATATTAAATTATTATTGGTAGATTAATTAAGTACGATTGTTTTATTTTTTTATAAATTATTATACCTATTTATTATTATATGGTATTTAAATATAATTTTTATTTGCAAAATTCATTTTAAAATTATCCCAATTCTTTTGTAGAACCTCAAAAAATCATTTTTCATTAATAATAATTAAGGAAAATAAGATTCTTCCAATTTTTCTTAAAACTTTTCATCCAAAAGATTTATTCAAATAAATATTTTATTTATTATTTATTTATTTATTTTGGTTATTAAATTAAATCTTTATTTTAATAAAAATAAATTTTAAATTATCTCAACTCTTTGGTAAGATCAAAAAATATTCTTACTTATAATAATTAAAGAAAATTAAACTCTATCAATTTTTTTAAAATTAATTTTAAAAGATTTATCCGAATAATCTACTATTTTTAATTTATTCATTGTAAAAAAATTTATTTCTAACAATAATAATTTCTTAAATTATCCAACACTTAGGTGAAATTTAAAAAATATTTTTTACCTATAAAAATTAAGGAAAACTAGAACCCTTTCAATTTTCATTAATAATTATTTTTTAGGTCATCACCATTTTCATTTTTTTGTTATTAATTTTTACTAAAAATTACTATTTAATTTGGATTTTTATGTTTTTATTAAAATTATTACTCATTTCTTTTAAAAAAGTAATAATTATTTATTTTTTGTTTAATTTGTTTAACTAATTACAAAAACAAATAAAAAATCAACAAAATAACAAAACTAAAAAAAATCAGAAAAAAAAAAAAAACTTGCAAACTGATTGAATCAGAGCATGGATCGATCCACTGGGCATGGATGCCCAAAGCAATATCATTTTGGCAGCCTATTTAAAGGCCTTTGAAATCTTCTTTTTTTTTCCCTTTCTTCTCTCACTCTCTTCCCCTAGAGCTTCTTTTTAAAAAAACTGATATCCTTAAACGACCATCATGTAAACCCAATTTCCAATCGATCACTATCGTGCAATCGTCGAAAACTTTAATCAGCATCGAAAAATGCAAAAAATTTTCAAATTTTTGTGACCAAAAAATTCAATCAATTACCAAAAAAATTTAAAGTTTTTCAAATTTTGGCAACTCCAAAAAATACCAAAACGATTCTTTCAATCCCTTAAACACTTTCCTTCAATTAGTGTTTTCCAAAAAAAAAAATCCCAAAATGCCTAGATCAAGTTTTTTTATTTTCTGGTTTTTTTTAAAATATTTTTGTTGCCTCTCCTCGGTCATGTAGCTTAAAATTTTATGGCTACATTTTGGGTGTTGGTAGGTCTTGGATCAATCCAGGCAGAAGGGTTGGGTACTTTTTTTTTTTTTTTCTGTCAATTGCCTCTGTTCTACCGATCATTCTTTCTGTCTTTTTCTGAATTTTTGGAAGTTGGATTTATAGGGTTGAATAGGAAATTAAATCTTAGAAAATCTGGGATTGAGGAATTTTTTTCAAAACCACCAGAAGTTTTTTTACAAATCTTGACAAAATTTGATATAGACAGATGATTGGCAAAGAAAAATGGGTTGGCAGATGGTTGGATTTTAGTTCTTTACCGATTCTACCAGTGTCACAGCACTTTCTTTTTTTTTTTTTAAACTTTTTAAATGATTTTTTAATGATTAATTAACAAAATAATATATATAATTGAACCTAATATGTAATAAACATGATTAAAATATCCAAATGAGTTTAAATTAGACATATCAAAATCACAAATGTATTAGGGATCTATTTCGATTCATTCGAACAAAATTAAATATTTACAAATAGTGTTATTTGCCTAAATTGCATATAAATACCCTATGTAGCTTACAAGTAAGAACAAGCAGGCAGCAAAAGCCAGTTATATTGTTATATACTTGACAACAGTTATGGACTTCAATGTAGTGCAAGTGACTCAACGGCGATCCGCCGGTTACCTTCCGACTGTTTGGGACCCTGAACTCATCAAGTCCTTTAGCCCTCTGTAATACTGTAAGTGTTTCATTTGAAGCATAAACTTTGCTTTTCATTTGTGGAACGTTACCTATCTCTGGCTAGTTTTGCAGTATGAGAGTCATGGCAGTCGTTTGGAGGAGCTGAAGCAAGCTGCTAGGTGTTTGTTGACATCCTTAAATCAAACTGAAGAAAAATTAGATCTCATCAATACAATACAACGATTGGGAGTGGCGAAACATTTTGCAAAAGAGATAAACGAGGTTCTTGATCATGTTAATCCGAATATTCCTTGTGATCTCTACACTGTCGCCCTGCAATTTCGGCTTCTGCGTGAGAATGGTTTCTTCATTACCTCAGGTAACTATTTCAAAAATTATTAATCGATTTTGAGCTACAAAATAGAAAGTAACACTGTTTCATCTTATAAATCTCCATCGTCCCATTATTTCGAGATTCAAATTTGAGATCTCTATGCAGGGATGTATCTAGAATTTATACTTTGTGAAGACAAATTTATTACATTAATTATCAATAATATTAGTATAATAATTTTATATTCATATTGTGAAGCATTATTTTACTAATTTTTTTTTATTTTTTAATACATCCATATACTTTTCAATATTATAAAAAACTCACACTTAAGTATTTTTTTTTTTTTTTTTACAATTAATGGGGTCTGAAACAAATAAATAAATAAATTGGATTTATTTCCAATAATTTTACTTGCTTTTTGATATTTTAATGAGGGCAAAATACAAGAATCATTAAAATTTTGAGTAACTTCATAATGGTTAAAATTAATTTTCAGGATTTCAGTGGGTTTAGCTCCCTGGATCCATCCCTGTCTCTAAGATGAAGTCTCAAGTTATGAGATTTAGGGTGTATACTTGGCGACAATATTAATGAACAATTACTATAAGCGGAATTGGTTGCTAAGGAGAGAACCTCCCTTTCCTTGTCAAATTACCAAAGATTCGATTTCTTGCGAGAAACATTCCAAGCAAAAAATCCTAACGCATTAGGCCTGTATGAGGGAATGTGCCCTTACGATTGTTTGAAAAAGAGATTGACAGACAAAAGCCTGAAGATATTCCCGACAATATTACTATGTGTATAATGACTATCAAACTACGCAACTCCAGATTGTACAAATTTTAATGACTATCATAAATTATCCATTAATATTTTTTATTTAATGTATAAACTTGCTCATGGTGAAAAAGCAGATGTGTTTAACAAGTTCATGGACAGTGATGGGAAGTTCAAAGACAGCTTAAGAGAAGATGTAGATGGGCTGTTGAGCTTGTACGAAGCTTCATACCTTGGGCAGCATGGAGAAGATGTTTTAGATGAGGCCCAAACGTTTAGCACTAAACATCTAAAATTAGTAATGGAGAAGTTGGAGAATGATTTAGCGGAGCAAGTAAAAGAATCGCTTCACGTTCCAATATATTGGAGGCTGCCTAGAATGGAAGCTCGAAACTTCATCAGTATCTACCAAAAGGATGCTAAAAGGAACTTCCTTTTGCTCGAACTTGCTAAGTTGGACTTCAATCTCTTGCAGTCGGTTTACCTGAAGGAGCTAAAGGAGCTCGCAGAGTGAGATTTATCCTCAATATATATATATATATATAAATAAAAGAAAGGGATTAATTTACACGTTGTAAAACTTTTTAGTTTTATAAATTTTTCTATATATATAATCACTTTAGCACTTGCTACTTTTTTTTGTAACTTTTTATAAGAAAAAGTGTTACAGTTCAAACTTATAAAAAAAAAAGGAATTTTCTTTTTTTCTATCAAGTAAAATTTTAAATATATCATATCAATATGAAGAGTACATCTTTAAAATCAATTAGGGAGAGAATTAAACACAAATAAAGCCTGGAGATACTTACGTTGATTAGATTATAAAAAGGTCTAAGTTAAATAGATTTGTTAATTTCTCTTGAAATTTATTAAATAATTAAATTTAATATAGTAGGTGGACATCTAAAAATTTCATTACAAATAAGGCTAGCTTACGTACATAGGGTTAAGTATTATTACAATTGATACAGGTGGTGGAAGGACTTGAACATCAAGGAAAAGTTACCATTCGCACGAGATCGGATGGTTGAGTGTTATTTTTGGGCAACGGGGAGTGTTCCAGAGCCACAATTCTACAAATGCAGGAGGAACCTCACAAAATTTGGAAGTTTGACAACAGTCTTAGATGATGTATATGACATTTATGGTTCAATGGATGAGCTTGATGCATATACAAATGCAGTGAATAGGTAATTAACTTTCAGATTTAACTTTTATTTATATGTACTTCAAATTTTCCTAACAATTAACTTAGACTCTATTTATTTGATATTTTTTATATTGGTTTAATATACAAATAAACTCTCAAACTTTACTTAAAAAAGCAAACAAGTTCTCGATTTTTTATTACAAAAAATTAAGACTATAAACTTTTATTTTAATGTAATTATATTCATTCAATCTTTAATATCAAATTGATAGAATTTTTAAAATAATATTTTTTAAAATATTTGTCATTTAACTTATCCAAATAAATTTAAGTATTTTCTACAAATTAAATCAATCAATTAAAAAAGTTGATTATTTTATACTGTTAAAGTTCTAATTATAACAAAATAAAAGTTCATAACTTTAATTTCATACAAAAATATTAAGGGTTTATTTGCTTTTGAATAATTATTTTACACAAAATATATAAAATTTAGATGTAAAACGCAAGATTTTACTGCTATATGGATCAATCATGTTATATAATTGATATTATATTTTTATTATTTGTCAATTTTAAATCGATAGTATATGATATTATTAGTCCTCCTTTGCTTTTGCTTTATACTAATTTTTCAAAACTAAAAATTAAATAATAAAAGTATCAACAAAACAACCTTACCATATATGCCAAAAAAATTTTGCGGTGCAGGTGGGATCTTGAGGCTATGGAGGAACTTCCAGAGTATATGAAAGTATGCTACTCAGCCATGTACAACCATGTCAACGAAATGGTCGAGGATGCCTCAAATGATCTTGGCTTAGATATTCTACCCTATATCAGGGATCAGGTAGGAATACAATGCTAGCCAATTATGAAATACAAGTTGTAATTAACTAAGTAAAGGACTTTTATTTTATATACCTTTTGCATAGTGTTTAATCATACTCCAATATTACAAGAATTAAACTATTACCACATGCCTTTTTATTTATCATTATTTTATTATTAACTTTTTTAATATACTCTAAAAGGCAATCATTACTTAAACATCCTTAAAATCAATAAATTTATCATAAGGTTAAATTACAATCATGTAAACTTAAAAAAAATTAAATTGACTCCCAATTTTCTCAACAAAACTCCAAATCTCTAACCAATTATCAATTTTTTTTTTAACAAATTACAACTTCTTCACTTCATGTTATTCTTCACTTTTAGTTCTACTTTTTATCTATTTCTTTTATATCACTGGACATCAATTCGTAAATTGTTAGAAATCACTTAACTTTTAATTTCAAAGCTTTAATTTTACCTTTTGAAAGATAGATTCTTTTTTTTTTTATGAAAATACGTTGCTTAACATTTGATTTATTTATAAAAGGATTGTCACTCATAATTTTTAATAAAATTATTTATTTGATGTTTTTATTTATATATTTGTTTATTGATCGATAACATTTATAATTTTGTGTGAATTTTTTGTTAGTATATACTTGCATATATATAATATTAATAAATATAATAACATAATCTTATAAAAATAACATCACAAATAATATAAGTTGATCTCTTTTAAAACTAAATGTCATGATTAATCATTATTTGATAATTTATGTATTCGTATCGTATCTGTTTTAAGTTAAACATGTATAAAATAAAAAAATTATCATATTAAATTCATTTCAACACTCTAACACCAAATACATCTTTTTTTTTTTTAATTTTTACCAAACTAATAAAGTTTTTGTTAATTAAAAAACAATTATTATTTAATTATGATTATTCTTTATTAATGATATTGCTAATTATGATTTCTCTTAATTAATTATAATTATTGCAGTGGGTGTGTTATTCAAGATCGTTGCATGTAGAAGCAGGATGGCATAATGGTGGATACATGCCTACTTTGGATGAATATTTTAAAAATGCATGGATCTCAATCGGCATTTCTGTAGGCTTGGCCTACGCATTCCTTGGAGTGCTAGAGGATTCCAAATCACATCGTAATTTTCCATTACAATTCTTCGAGCATTGGCATGAATCTGAGTTATTTTATTGGCCTTCCTTAATCGCCCGACTTTTGGATGATTTAACAACTTCCAAGGTATGCAAATCGCTATTTATTCTATTGAAAAGCCTTTTTTATAAAAAAATAAAATAAAATAAAAAAGCCAAGGGTCTGCACGGGTCGATGGTGCTAGAATTAAACTCTTACCAATAAAATTAAAAATTTCATACTCTGTTAACAAATCACATGAATGTTGGCAAATACCTTATTTTAACCTTAGTCATTTCATTGATATCTTCAATAATCACGTCCTACTCCCAAAAACTTGATTAATCGCTAACAGAGTCACTTTCAAACATCACTTTAGTGCATGAAAATTGTGAGATATTTTTAGATTTTGTTTGATTGATTTTTTTTATTTGTTATTTTGCCTTTTTTTTAATCATTATTTAGTTTTTGCTTTTCGGTTTCTATTCATTTTTTATTAAAAAATAAGGAGTAAATAGCAAAAACATTAAATAAGCTATGTCTTAATTAGTTAGCTTTCTTACAAAGAATCAAATCTCAGATATCAGTTTCACATATTTCAGTCAAAAACAAGGGGGAAAGCTTTTATCCATTCAGAATGAATAAAATACAATTCATTGCAAAAAAAAAAACTTCTTCTGACTTGATATTATTGGACCATTTTGAAGATGGAGATGGAAAGAGGCGAGACAAACAAATTCAATCCAATGTCACATGATTCAAGAAGGGGGTCTGAAGAAGAAGCACGAGCTCACATAAAAGGCTTAGTAAGTGATTCATGGAAAAAGTTAAACAAGTTTATTGCACATCATTCTCTTCCGGTTGGATTTGCCAATGCTGCAATGGCAATGACAAGATGTGTTCAACGAATGTATCACTTCGGTGATTGGTTTGGCATTCAAAGCAAGGCAAACATAGATTGTGTGAATTCTTCATTGTTCAACCCGGTTTAGACTTTAGATTTGATAATAGGATCAACTTGTACTGACAAAGTAAAAAAATAAGCTAGAGATGCAGATAAAGAAGGAAATGTTTTGTGTGCGCAAACTTTGTTTTGACATAGTACAGTTAAGTTTGATTATCTATCCCTCCCAAAAAAAAAAAAAGATTCGGTACTTTTAAATACGTTGATATGATAAAAGGATATAAAAATAATACAGAAGAAGATGTAAAATTATAGTTTAAAATGTTAATAAAAATTATAAATAAATTTTTTAAAAAATAAATTTATATTTAACACAAATTTGACACGTGATGACACGAACACAAGTGGAGAAATTGAAGGAAATGGAGGCAAATAAGTAAGGACAAGGGCGAAGTAGGTGGGTCTCTAGATGCGAGATTGATATTCTGTTAGAATAGTGGGGGTGCTTACGTTAGAAAAATTTTAGAAAATATAAATAATAAGAATGAAGAAATATGATTTTGATGCATAAAAAATATTAATATTAATTTAAAAGTAATTATAACTATAGGAATAATAAAATCTTAAAACTTTTTAAATTAAAATCAGTGAAATTGATCATATAAAAATATTTATTTATAATAAACAAACAATCATAAATTTTTTATTTAAAAAGTTAGGACGATTTGTATAACAATGTTTTTTCTATTCAAAACAAGTGTTTTAGACAGTCATGTTTTTTTATTCAAATATATTTATTTAGAATAAAAATAATATTTTATTAATATTCTAAAATTTAAAAGAGTTAAAGATGTAAACAAAAAATAAATTTATTTACTAAACAAGCTTAAGTGCTCAATCTTTGGGCTTTAAAATATTTAGCTCATTAGGATTGGCTCACACCAACATTTGATTCAAGTATTTAAACAACATTAATTAATAAACGAGTGTTAATTGTCGATTTTGATGGTTCAAGGGAGATGGATAACTTAGGGATGCAATTGCGTGGTTTGCAGTGGCTTTGCTTTTGTTAGACAAAGGTGAAGAGAGCAGTATGAGAGGATATTTTAGGGCTGAGTAACACCCTTGTTGAAAATTGGTTTGTCGCTGGGGTTTTCAACAAAGTAGCTAACAAAGGCCTTAGAGATGTTATTAGCTATCAAAGAGACATGCTGAGTTAATAGTTATTCAAACGGCCTTGGAGATTTTTGTGGAACTAAGAATGTATGTAGGAGGTAATTTAACCATTAAATCTAGCCCTGTCGGTGCCTTTACCAGGTGTGCAAAGGACACCAGATTGTCGAACTTTGGAATTTTCTACCTCGGACGGATCACTTGGGGGCTTTCTGCATTGTCAGATTTATAGAATCTAATGTTTTTGCAGATTCTTTAACTAAAGCGGGAGTTGGTCGTTTTGAAATTATTGTGGCATGGTTGTAACGGCTAATTTTTTTTTTTTTATATCCCTTTTCTGACTTTAGGTTGATGTTGTCCTACTGTAAATTCTACTAAACAAATTTGATAATTTTAAATATGATACGATAATATAATATAAAATAATATAAAAAATTATGTATAAATTTAATATAATTATATTTTTTATTTTAATCATATCAACATGATTAAAACATGATATTATTTGTATCTTATTTGTGTCAAATAGTGATGACATATTTAAGATATGATATTATTCATGTAAGCATATATAACATATAAATTATAAAAATTATTTTAATTTATTTTTTAAATAAATTAATAATCATATTTATCGTATCATTTCATATTTAAATAAATTATAAATTATTAATTTTTAAATAATTTTTTGTTTAAATACTAATTTAAATAATATTTTTTAAATAAATAAATTAATCACATCTAATCGTGCTATTTATGTTTAATTATATGAATCGTGTCGTGTCGAGTAACATTACTTGAGTTATATTAAACAAAATAATTTTAAATGTATTAGTTAGCATGTAACGAATATAATAAACGTATCGATTTTATATTTAGGTTATTCATGTTATTTAAATATTAATGTCATGTTCGTATTAAAATTACTCATATTGCTATAACGTCTAAATTCGGGGATCTATCGCTAGACATTGACTTGAAGGAATCGCCACCAATCTTTTTTATCTAGGTGCGATTGACCACCTAAGGAATCTATATTTTTAAGAAACACCTAAGCCTAAGGGTCCCTAAAAGAATAGGTTCAAGTCTACTAACCAAAACAAAGTTCGGGAGTACGATTATGTGTGAAAAAGGTTATAGCACCCTCACAATGCCCATCGAATGATGGTACCAGCTTAATTTTGTGTTATCCAATAAGCCTTAAAAATTTATCAAGTAATTAATTGTTGGAAATTATTTTCAATTGACTCTAATACTTTTAACAAAAAATTAAGAAAATTTCCTCACCTTCAGCAACCATTGTCCAGATACGCCCTTTTGGATTCAAAATATTGAATTTCAGGGATGCACTCGTCTTTTCATCCAATGAATGAATCAAGCTTTCTGTTGGGCTCAAGGCTTTTCCAAAAAGCAGGGGAAACTCTATGTTACCCCACTTATTAAAGTTCTTGAATGTAGCAGTGTCATCCAACTCTCCCCTCATATAGTTGGTATGGTTCTCTATTCACCAGCGTAAATGGATTCATCTCCATAAAGCTGAAATCGAGATCTTGAAAGATAGAAAAGATAGCCATGATGAAGTCACCAATCTTTCCTCGAACTTTAAAAGGGAATGTAGCTATCAATGGCGTGTACGTCTTGAGGGTCATAGGTTTCTCAGATGAAAGGAAAATGGTCTTAACCTTATCCCAGTTCTCTTCAATTTTGATGCCTCCACATTCTGAAAAGCTAATGGTTGAGCCAAGCCTTTCAGAGACTATTGAAAAGTAATACTCTTCTTCATGGGGGACAAAAGGTTCAACAATGAAAGTGGTTATAAAAGCTTCGCAACCACCTATCTTAACTTCAATGCCAAGCCGTGCTTTGACGAATTCAGCAACTAGAGCAAGA